TTTTATTTACTTTTAGCGAATCGATCGATTGATGGTAATAGTAGGTTGATGGCACCGAAGGAGCGGTATTTACTAACTTAGAAATTCGCGAAAGGGAGCAAGAGCAACAGAGTGCAATGAAGAGAAAATGGGATAAAAGGAATAAAAATAGACGCGAAAATATATTATATTGATGGTTTTGAGCCTATCTAACAGCTGTCATTACAAAAATAATTCCATTGTCATTTACAGATGGGAGGTAATAATATTTTATTTATTTAGTCAATATAAATCTGTTATATCCGTACTTTTCAAATCTCTATCTCCAACGAGGTAATGTTATGCATGTAGAATAGAAGTTCAGTTGATTATTTGAAATATAATTAAAAATGTAATTGAATAAGATTAAAAAGATGGCGAGCACACTTGACGTGAAGGAATAAAAGGCTGAAAATTATTTTATAAATTTTTAGTATAGAACGAAATATAAACAAGAACAAAAGTTATTATATTCCTTCTTCTTTTATACATTTTATACAAAATTCAATTACAGATTATTTAAAAGACGCGACAAAGAATTATTAAATTTAGTTGTTACCTTTACATTTGCAATTTACACTTACTAATAAATACTTTATATTATTAGAAAAACAATTCGAGCTTTTAGAATAACTATTTTTAAGAAAAAGATATGCAGTTATTTATTGAGTACCTTTAGTGATTACAAAAGTAATAATAGACACGATATAAATTAATTATTAAATTAAAATTCTTTGGAGAGTACACAATAAATTGATTAAGTATCGACTTATGAGTGAAATTAAATCAATTCTTTTAATAAAATAAGTAATTTTAAAGTTGGAAGAAAAATTAATGAACGCTGCAAAATCGAAGTATTCTTTAAAAAAAAAAAAATATTTATATTCTGAACAATTAATATATTATTACCGGGATTATTATTTGAAAGTGTCCGAGTTTCGAAATAAGAGAAAAATCATTATTTTCAGACAAGTTAAATGAAAATAATAAACGGGCAATTAGGCACAAGTTCAAGCTACTTACTTCAATGATTTGTAATTATTCTCTAATCGCATTATGACTAACGAACAATTTGTTTATAAAAGAGAAATGATCGATGTTGTGTGCCCTTTCTACAATTTGGCCTGAACTAAAACAACTACATTAGTGCACGTAGCAGTCGTAAATACTATTATTTTTGATTCTCTGTTTTTCCTTTATAAATGCGAAATTTAATTTTCTCTAGTTAAAGTACGAAAAAATATAACCTCGAATTAAATAATAAATTGCTATCGCAGTTTGCATTTTCACAAAATTTTAACAGATTCACGCCAACGGCACCGCCTTTGATGAAATAAAATTCATTCCAATTTTTCAGAGATGTTTTTTTTGTTTTTGTTTTTTGTTTAAATTCATCCGCTTTAAAGTCACGACATAAATAAGCGAGAATAAACATGCCTTCTACTTGGGGCATCTTGAAATTATTTTCAAGTCATTAATTTTTAAACGCACCGAGTAACCTACCCATCCACCTCTCTCTAACTTAGCCCATCATTATAATCAGTGAGATTAGTCGTCGAATCCGTAAGTGGCGTCTTATAAAACTGCCTCGCAAGATTTATTATTTAATTCAATGGATGCTCGTGTATCTGGATTAACGATAATTATCTAATCCGTCGGTATAAATACGAGGGCAACGGGATCCCCTTGATGTTGCCCATTCGCTACCCTAAGGAAACCGAGCAATGTCTAGGACTCTTATCAAAGAGAACCTCGTTGAGGACTTTGTTGCTGTTGGGAGATATTGAACAACTGTTCGTCGGGTGTTTGCTATGATGAGACTCATAGTCGAGCGGATAAATCCTAAGCTACTGTATTGCATGCAAGATCGTGAGGCCGAGATACGAGCGCGAATATGGTCATTTTGAGCATTTTGTCCCAAATAAAATGTTTTGCTGAGAGTACGCGATTGTGGGCAGTTTTAACGGGATTCTCGCTTCTTTGACGATCAAACGGCTACTTGAGAAATCGTCATTTTAGTTCGTTTTCAATAGAATTTCCGCTTGGCTATTAGTGGATAAAAAATATAACAACAAAACAAAAAAAAACAATGCGGGTGTTTGATGATAAATACATAATCAGAATGTGAGTTTATGTAGCATCAAGAGGGATCCATTGATCAATCAGTTGAATATATTTGAATTTGAATAGCTGCTGTTGCGCTTAGAGCCTAAAAAAGATTAATATAGTGCAATTTATTTCTACTCCATTGCACAATCAATCTTAAGCATTACTTGCACTTTTCATTAAACTCGTATAATTTAAAACTAAGCGTGCACAAAGACATGCATAAATATGCTTAATATATGGATGGAATATTAAATAAAAATTGCATGCTTAAAATAAAGATATAGTCAAGAGTCTCGTATGATTATGATATATTTAAAACTATCTATCAATTCAAAATTCAAAATTATCTAGGAATTTACAACATCAACAATGGAATGTTTACGAAGGAAATAGTTTGCATAAAGGATTTAGTTAAAAAAGCCTTTTCAATAGTATGGACTGAAGTCATTTCTGTTAAATAAACTAAATCGGAAATGAGTATAGTATTATTGTATTATTTTATGCTCCGTGTATAAGGAAAACTTTATCCCGTACGTAAAAAATTAAGGACTTGAAGGAGTTGAGTGGTAGAGTGAATTTAACAGAACGATGCTTCGATCTTACTTTTTCACAATGTTCTCTTGTTCGCGTCATTGTTTTGGCTTTGAATTGCAACATTAATTTTTCAGAATAATTGAAAGAATAATAGAATTTCAAGTTTTATTGCTATGTCGCAGCGTAATTAGCCTCCTGAAATACCATTATTATTATTATCATTAGAGTACGTCCGCATAACGAGAAGAAAAACTTGTTCTATTAATCGCAAATGACGGCACGCGGAGTCTAAATGGATTACTTTCGTTGCTACTTTAAATAATTTCTCTCGTTCTTTTCAATAATGCACGTATTCTTATAAATATATTTCTTTGAATTTGGCAAAGTTTCTGTCGTCACAAGAGTTTTAGCGTCTCCAATGTATTCTTCATGGATATTTCCATTAAAAACATCCACATTCGATCAAAATCTTCAGCCATTCGCTATAAATGATGAACAATACTAGCTAATTGATGTCACCTTAATTATCATCATTGATTGACTCTACAGAAGTAATATTTACGTTAAGTCGGCAAATGCTTATGTAAAGAAAGTAGCTAAGTAAGATTAAGATAAAGGTATTATAGCGGGGAATTTCGGGGAGAGGGATGTAATGAAGACGTTCCTCGAGAGATTGAGTAGTTGATGGCCTTCGGTAAGGAACAGAGCGACAACATTGTATGTATTAAACTTGAACGGGAATTGCATTTAATATAAAGATAATTCTTAGATAATCTAAAAATTACAAAGGAGATGATAAAGAGATAAAAAAAAATATTTATAATCAAACCAATTATTATGAAGACTTGATTAAGGGCACTGAGCTAAGAGAAAATTTTTATTCTCATTTTTTTCAGTCTCGCTTATCTATTCACTGATGGCATTTGCAGTGAAGTCGATATCTCAATAAAGCATATTTCATAAAATGATTACAAATTCAAGCATAATTTGACAAACTCGGTCTACTTTTGTATCAAATATTTATTTAAAAGTTAATTTTTTTATGAAATAAAATTGCTTATATAATTTATAAGCGTTTATAAAAGCATAATGAATCTTTTAAAGTAAGTGTAAGCAGCATATGCTTTGCTATTTAATAAAAGAATTATATGAACGTGAAAATAGATAGAGAGATCGATAGATGCATGCAGATACACATACGTCCACATACACATATGCCTGCGTATATTAAGGGGTAAATAATTGATAGTAACCATAGAAAATGCGATATTACGCTAAATCTGTGTTCCTCCCTCTTATTTACTTTATACAGTATTCAAAATATTCGAATTGATAACTTGTAATATTTGCATTATTTTTTATAATACAATTATTGCCCAATAATATACGACCGAAGAAAGAATGTATTTTTAAGGGGCATTATATTATAAAGGACTTGAATTGCTATTTACAATTATGTAAATATTTCAGCGGATGAAACAACATTAACATTAATACAAGTCATATATTTTAATCGTGTTGGTTAGAATTCGAATTTTCAATAGTGGAAAAATTTGTATGTTTTAATTCAAACCACCGTGGAATAATTCAATTTGCATATATAAATATATATATATTTATATATATGAGAGTTGTGCATGCGCGCGCGCGCTCGTGTGTGTGTATGTGCGTACGAGAGCGCATCAACGTGTTAATATTAATAATTAAATTATTCTCATTGGCAAAAATTTGCTCGTTTGAATATTAACATTGCGAATGGGTATATTTGTAAATGAACAAACCTAAAGAGATGCGTTTGAATTAAGAAACGCGTGGAGTAATGATTTATTGATGCTTCGAGGGATTGAATCGAACGTCGAACTAACCGAGATGGATGAAAAGCACGTAACATTCAAAACAAAATCCTAGTAAAAATGAACTTATTATGTCGCCCGAATTATATACCAATTGACATTATTTCATTTAAATACGCGCGACTGTTTACACAACTCAGCCGATAAAATATATAGGACAAAATCCAATTAAAATGTAGATTTAAATCAATTACTGTTTTGACTTGGTTCGTTAGCCCATGGTACATTCGCACCGGCAGCTTCCCTACGTTTAATGCACATTCAAACCCAAAAAAAAAGCGAAGGAAAGAGGAAAGAAAAACATTTCCATTATTTCGTCTGCGTCGAGACTTTTATTGCGGATCAATAGCACCTTGCGCGCGGTACAATATCCCGTCGAAAGCCCAGGACGATGGAATCGGTAAAAATCGTAGCCTAGGAGCTAGCGGCGGTCGCACTCGCACGCACGAAAATATTCGTACGGGGATAGGAGTCGGTGTCGCCTACCTGCTGTCAGCGCTGTCGCGTTGACGCTTCCCAATCGCCGTCTTCATCGCTCTTCGTCGCAGGGTGAGTCGCACTCCACACAGCACAGGAACGAACCTCGTGGACGAGAGGGTCAATCCGGACTTGCCTTTGCTGCGACCTGAGTTCACGACTTGGCACTAGTGCACGGCCACTTCCACTTAACGTACATCCTCGCAACTTTTCGTCGATCAGAGAAAGGTGAAGCGTGCCACATGTGACTTCGGACGTGCGCGTCCCGTCCGAGAGGAAGCCGCTTCTTATGCAACCAATGGAATATGAAAGAACGAACAAACGATAACAACGGCAGCAGCGCCAGTCGGCGAGGCTTCGTTGCGAAATTGAAAGGTCGTTCGCGGCTTAATATTCCCCTCACAAGGACGCGCTAACGGGCATCGGCGACATCACCATCGACTTCATCGACATCATCGACATCATCGTTATCATTGTTATCGGCATCATCGACATCTTCGTCATCGATATCTTCATCAACGACATCTTCATCGTCGGCATTATCATTCTCATCATCATCATCATCATCATCATCATCATAATAATAATAATCATCATTATCATCATTATTACGATCATCATTATCATCATAATTATCATCATAATCATCACAAGCACCAACAATAACAAACAACAACACAATTAACTGTGGACATCGGCACTTGTCTCCGGAATATCCAGCGCGTCGCCAAGGCTTCTCTCTCTCTCGCTCCCGCGCTTCACTACATAATCCGCACCGCGAGAGCGTCCACAGGTGCCGCGCACTGCGTACGTAAGCCGCACGACGAATCGTCCCGGGGTCAGGATCGTTCACTAACCGGACCACGCGCCTCGCCGCAGCAGCTGCTGGTTTTGCTCGTGGCTCGAGTCATGGGGAGTGAGTGCGTCCGAGGGCCCAGTAGAACGAGTCGACATCGATTAGATGGGCCCGGGATGTCTCCTCTCCATGACGATAACGTCCAGGTCCTCGTTTGATAGCGCTCGATAATTCGCACCAAAGGACAGCGTCGACGGCAGCGGTGCTAACGACGACGACTATAATAGCGTTTACGACGGTGTCTGGGAATGAGATAAAGAAACAATGATAGAGAGAGGGGGGTGGGGGAGTGAGAGAGAGAGAGAAAGAGAGAGAGAACGAAACAGACAAGTAGACAAACAGACAGACAGACAGACAGAGAAAGAGAGAAAAGCCCGAAGACGGTCTTACTCGGAGCGCTGCTCTTTCCGAACTGCCGACGCCGCTCAGTCATTCTCCCCCCGAGATACCCCCACCACCTCGGCGCAGCCACCACCGCCGATGCCGCCGCTCCGGTTCCCACCCGGGCGACCGTAGCACCACGCGTCCTCGGTCCCCACCAGGATTCGGCAGGACGCGCGCCACGCACTCGTGGTACGTTGGTGGGGGGCCACGGTCGCGTGGCGCTACGACCGCTTGGGTGGGGTGGGAAGGTTAGCTGGCGGTAGAGCGGCCAGTCCGTTGGGAGAGGGAGGGGGCAGAGATGGGCCACCAAGCCCGTGCATCCTTAGAGTCCTTTCTCGCCCTTCCGCCCCCCAGCCATGCTCACGACACCGCTACACCATTACCACCACTAGGAAGAAGAGAAATACTACTACTACTGCTATTACAATCAACATCACCACACTACTACTATTTTTACTACTACTACTACTACTACTACTACTACTACTATTACTATTTCCGCTTCTACTACTACTTCTATTGGTATTTACTACTACACTTGCACTGTTGCGTGTACTAATGCTGTCGTCGCCGCCGTTGCTGCCGCCGCCGTCGCCACCACCGCCGACGCCGTTGCTGGTGGTGGCCGCGGGCGGCGCAGGCGCGATGGATCCCGTGGTATCGCGCGCTCAGCTTACCAAGAGAGATAGTACGGATAACTCGATCGCTTGCCGAGGAAGAGGGAAAGGGAGCGAAAAGTGCGGGCTTCCGAAGGCCGGTACGGGCACGAACCTCCCTTTTATCTTACCGCTCTCACTCATTATACCCCCTCTCTCTCTCTCTCTCTCTCTCTCTCTCTATCTATCTATCTATCTATCTATATCTCTTTGACCGTGCCTCTGTCTGCTCCCCATGTACTTTTTGTCCTCATCGGTGGCCATACGTAAGGGTCGTACAAAAGATAGTTAGATGAATGAATAGACAGATACGGAGAAATAGAAAGAGTCGCGCGCAAATTGCGAACCCCCGTCGAGGTTACTGGCGCATCCATAGCGCCACACGCGTCCACCAACTCCGATTAGCTTTTACGAGTTGGAGCGGGGCGCGATCAATCTGACTTGTGTGCAAAAAAGGCGGGGGACCGGGGGAGACGATGGGTCTCGGGCGAATATAGCGGTGGCCCGTCGCTGGAGAGCGACTACGAACTTTCGTTGCGCCCTGCCGGAAGGACGAAAAGGAATTACGCTCGCGATATCTGGACTATATAGGTGACAAACCATTGAAATTGAAATAGCCTTGGAGTTGACGTATTATCTAGTTTTCTCGTGACCGTTTTTTCATCCCTATCCCTATCCTTCGCCCCGTGCATCGCCTCTATTCTGTTTCCGCGGCTCTTCCTCTCTTTCCCGTTTTTACCGTCCATTTGACGGTGCATCGTACTTTTCGATTCGATGGGTTTGCGCATTCCACGTTGATAGTAAATGCCAATATTTTGCTGCTCATCGTCGCGAATCTGTCAATTTTTATATAATTGCTCGAGATTATTAGAACCTAGATTTCCACTAACGTCTTTAACGTATTTAATATGTTTTCCCCTTACTATTTGCGTTCAGAAATGTTGTTTCAATTCAACGGAAATGCCCATGGCAGAAACTTAAACGCTCAAACGTAATGTCCATCTTAATGGTAACTTATACAATCGTAGAAGCATGGAAGTATTGAATTTAAAACACCGTTATTAGTAAAAATAATATTGTACAGTAATAGCCTTCTCTGCTCGGCGAAGAAGTAATTATGTAAGTTTGCTACAAATCGGATTCAAATTAATGTGTCAACTAAAAACTGTGTATTATTCGTATTACAATGGCACATTTTATTTTTAATCCTCTACATAACGTTCGCTTGACTTACGTAAATATTAATCTCCAATGTGCATTGAGTTCGAAAATGATTCACAACGATAAATCTTCGTTCGCGACCATGAAAAATTGTTAGGCTAAATACCATTATAATATTATCCTAACGGACAATGGAATTATTTACATTATTTACATCCTCCTTATCTCGCATAATGGATAAGGTGCAGGGACTTGGCTGTTAAGCCTACGTTGTATGTAAAGAATCTTAAACGAGGTCGTTCGAAATTGTCGTTTATTACCTCAGTGATATTATAAATAGATTTATGAATTCGCTTCATCCGCAACTCGTTCTACCAGACTTCCGAGGTTCTAAAACAATTCGTCTCATCCACTTTTCTAAGATTTTCGTGACCGATCGATAAAGGTGCTCCAGTTTTTGGCGGATATTCCGTTTCCCTCGCATGCGATAGATAAAAGGGAGGATGAATTTTCAGATTCCTTCGTTCCCCGATGCCGATCAGAATCATGAAAAAGAAAAACGACCTCACAATTACTCTAAAGATTATATTAAAAAGCGCCTACGTACGAGTTCTTCTCGACTCGCAGCTAAAGTCAAATGCAATGGCAGAGTGCCAGGCCAAGGTGAACGCACGGGTAGCTCCGCATTTTTCTGCGAATGCTACGTGAAAGTAAATTGAATTGAGTATCGGTCCGAGAATAAATCTGAGATGCTTATTGGGTCATCTACTTATCCCAACCGTCCACTGTGTATTTCGATCATGGCTACATTTTACTCGAACTCCCCGTCATTATGTATTATTTTGCTCGAAGCGAGCCCCGACGTGCTTATATTTGCTGTAATTACATTTCATTGTACACAATTTGACAAGGGATAGCATTAATTCATGTTCTAAAGAATTCTTTTCGATCGCGTAATAAGGGAATTGAAGAACAATTCACTAGCTTGCCATTATTAAGTGGGCATTGTAAGCTTGTGAGTAGTGCGTTTACTTTTATAATTTAACAAACGATAAGCCAAGCGACGTAGCTGTAAATAAAAAATGTTACATGTGTTTTGTAATTTTACGCCATTGCAAACAGCAGTTTTCACTTGTCGGGTATTTGATATTGCAAATCGAATGGAATTTCGTAAAATTAAATAAAAAGTCTGTAGATCGCTTCATTTTTCCAGTCGATATAATCGTAATATAATGGAATTTTCGAGGAAATCCGGCTTTAATTGATTATCAAGTCTGGAGTACGAGAAGCTCACCTTTTTGTTACATTCTATTTCGTCCATAAATTTTCCGTAATCTCAAGCTCGCCTGCAGCTCTTTCTCATTCTTTTTTTGTTTCGGCTCTTCTTGAGTTTTCTTTCTTTCTCCCTCGCACTCTTTCTCCATTCTCGTATCTTTGAGAAAAAGAAAAACGTGACTGTAGGTACCGAGCAACGATTTACTTATTTACGTTCAAGTGCCGCACGTGACTTTGCGCAATATCAATGCGAATAAGGAGAAAAGAGATGCCATGGTATATTATACTATTGAATAAAGCATATTTTGATCTTTACATAATTTAAAAGCCCCTCTTGTATAAAATAAAAAAAAAAAAAAAAAAAAAAAAAAAAAAAAAAAAAAAGAATAAATAAAAGAAAGTTTAATCATTTCAGAAGATGTAATGCGACGTAATTTAACTATTCATGTAAACGAAATGATTAATTATACGACAGATTTAATAGCTGACATTATTCCTAACTATTTAAGCATTAAGCAATTATCTCTATATAATTCCAATGGCAAAACAATTAAAATCCCAAGTGTTACTTATAAACAGTCTTACATATATAATACATTGCATTCGCTGCTATAATATTATAAATATCATTCTATATATTTTATTATCTAAATTTGTATTTTCCCAATGATTCTTAAAAATAATTCAACATTATAAAGAGTCAAAAATTTATGCAACTGAGTATGTTATAAAATATTATTCAACGATAAATTTAGTGCATAAATTGGACTTGAGTCAATGCGGATACGCATATGTCTATTAATATAAGATAAATCAACATTTGATGATTTCACATCTATAATAAATATACACTCATAATACACTATATAAATGACTAATAACGCATCTACACGTTAACAATCTTTTTTTCATAAGTTTTTCAAAATATATAATTTTTGTACGATTAAAAAATACGTAACGCAAATAGTTAAAAATTATATATTGATTATAGTATATTTCTTGTATGTACATTCAATCGATAAATTATATATTCATCTGTTTTATTGTCATAAAAATGACATTACCTTAGATCTTCTCATAAGTAAAAAACTAACTTAAGATCAAGCTGACAACGAAAAATAAATCAATATATTTTCAAGGTTCTTGTTGGCTTATTAAATTAAATCTGAGTGTCCTCGTAAATATATACTTCCAACGAAGATATGAATCTTGATGCATAAAAGACAGTAGCAA